CCGCGGGGGCGGCCCCGACCAGCCCCGGCCCCACTCGGCCCCCGCCACCGCCCGCCGCGCCGCCCAGGGGGGTATTCCGGTGGCGGGGCCCTTGTCCTAAAAAGGCGAGGATCCGGCCCCGCCCCTCTTGTCCTATTAGGGCTCGTTCCGGAAAATTTTCAAAAGGTTCGGAAAAGCAGAGGAGGTCCCGGGGCCGCCCCGCCAGACCCCGCTCACTTTCTCAGCAGCCTGTAACCGCAGACCAGCGGCGGGTGAGGAGACAACCGCATCCACGGAATGGAGCTTCTCTTTCCCAAATAAATAAATAAAAAAAAAAAAAAAAAAATTTTTTTTTTTTTTTTTTTTTTCTGAATTATGGGTGGAAGAAGCCGCGCCGCGGAACAGAGCGACTTGGCGGCGCTGCTTGTTTTGGAAAGTGTCTGATCTATATATACCGTGGCGAAGACGGAACCGTTTGCTCCGCCGTCGCTGGGTTGTTAATGTATCGACTGGCACAAGCGAGGATGGGACGGGGAGGGGTGGCGGGGTAACCGGAGTGCCCCTCCGCCGCCCCACCTCGTTCCGTTCTGACCCTACCGCTCCCGCTTTGCTCTGTTCAATCTCTTACTCCCAGTTCCCATCCTCAGTAACATTTCCACTCCCGCTTTTGCTTTATTTGTCCATGATCCCCTCCATAACGAGGGTATCAAACCACAGAGTGCTTAAATTCTGGCTTTTTTTTTTTTTTCTCCGAAGTACTAAAAATAACCTCCCTTGTGCCTCCTTTCCCAGGAGAAGCTAAGCTTTCATACACTGTTCCCAAGCTTAGAGCTTGCAGCCCCTACAAGCTGCTGATGAGGGTGTCAAATGTAATTATTTTTGAAAGCTGTATCCCATGTCAGTAATCTCATTATTTGGGGATATTTTATCTCGTGGCTGTTTATTACTGCATTGAGGAAAGCAACTCTCACATATGGTCTGCAGCATGTGAGGCCCCTTTTCAATAGTCTGCAGTGAAAAAACAACCCATTGACAACCCAAGCAACAGCAAGACATGGCAACACGTAAGAGATATTATGACAGTGCATTCCTGTTCCAAAGCAACAAGCCCGAGAATACATAGGAAAGCTAAAAATTCTTCACTTTCATTTTTAACTGCAGATACCAATATTTACAGGTCTAATACATTACGGCCTGTGCCATAGAAGAGGGGTGTGCTCAGGCATCCCTATGGTGGACTTACCTCTGCCTTGGCTCCCAAACACTGTCACAATGTATCCCAGGACCCTCTTTATCCATGCCACACCTCACACCCCAGCTGAGAAAGGCTCTTTCAGTTCCTCCAGTTCACTGCCTTTGGTAGTGATACTCTAGGTTCGTTACTTGTCCAGGCACCACAGAGTCCAGACTAGACAGCAGCATTCCTGGAAAAGTAAAGGGGTATTTGCTAAGGAATACTAGGCATAAATCTAGATATTTCCCTTGATGGGAGATCAGGGAAGTATGCACAGTAATTATTAAATATATAACAGTGTTTAATGTAGATTTTTGTTTCCAATCCTTTCTAGCACTTAATGTACAGCCAATACAGTTTGACATGAGATTTAGTTGAAAGCAAGGCTTCAGTGGGATTCTAGATATTTTAATTTAAAAAACCATCTCACTGTAAAGGTTAAATTTGAAAGTGTGACAGAGAGATAGGTTATGGGAAATTTGGGAAGTCTGAGAAGTAGGAGCAATTGTATTGTACCTTTCTCTTACAGCTGAGGTATAATTGATCTAATCGCTATTATGAAAGAACAAAATATTGGAATCTGTTGTGCAGTGGGGTGAGTTACTTTACATGAATTTGAGAAACAGTAACTCTAAGTGCAGTATCCTCCTTACTGCCAAGTATTTCAGATATCTCAGATTTAGGGCTTATGGATATTTTACATAATCTTTTATTAATTCAAAATACCACATGCCCACTGATGACACTTAATCATAATGCACACAAGAAGAAAGAAGAACCAAGGTTTCACACCCCACCTTAATCCCTCCATGAATCAGCTCTAGCTTTGAACTAACTTGGCTGATTTAATGTTCTTCCACTATGGAGAAGGATTCAATGAAAGACCGACATAAATAAAATTTAACTGCACCTGTGGAATACTACTGTAGTTGATTTGGCTGGTTAATTTTAAAGGGCTTATTAAGAATGGAATAAATCCATTCTTATGTCTGATTTCCAGCCTTTCCAGGGGCAATCAAATCACTCAACATCTTTCAATGGGGGCTTTCTCTCAATGGCAGCAGGATCTGGTATCGGGCAAAATGGAAGCATACTTAATGCTCAGTTTCAGGAAGTTGTTGACAGATGCAACTCAAATGTTTCTGGGGCCTTTTCAGATATCCTTGCTGTATTGCTTTACATGTGCTTTGTGCCTTTGATCCTTATTTGGCTGATTACAGCAGACTCTGAGGGTTGGACTGTCCAGCTCACGCTGACATCAATGGCCCTTATATGCAGAAATATCCTACTGATTTCTGTGGTTCCTATAAACTATGTGGTTTCATATGACAGATTGTTGGTACAAATTGCCAAATCTCTAATCACACCAACAGCCTCAAATATGCATCAGCTCTTACTGGAGATAGCAGTGATTGAGGAGGGTTCCAAGCTGAAAGGCAGAACTTCTCTCCTATTCCCAACTTTTTTGAAACCGAGCCCCTTTGGATTTGCTGTATTTGCTCTTTTCACAGGTTGCTAGCTGACATTGTGCTGGGAGTATATTTTCCTGCAGTTGTTCTCTACCACAAGTACCTGAGACATGAGTTGTAGAATAAAATTATCTTTGCCTCCATACCTGAGTTGAGAGCGGCTAAGGAGGAAAAGGCAGTTTATCATCTGTAGAGCTGGCAACACATTTAACCAGCTTAGCATCACACATTTGAGTAATCTCTCCAGGGGGTCACTATGCTTTTGCAAAACTCACCTGACCTCCTGTGCTAGCAGAAGAGATGTTAGTAGGTCTGCATGGGAAACATACCCAGCCACTTCCACTCTGCATCCCGCTGCTTTCAGGAGGGCTAAGGTGGCCCCAGGTCAGCAAGTGCCCTAGGGAGTAGAAACTCATTTGAGAACAGGGAGTTTACAGATAGGAGACAAATGACCCTGACAACAGGAAAGAATGTCTGTCCTAAGTCTGGGCATGTTGAGGTTGATGGGTTTTTAATGTTTCATGTGAAAGAGAAAATCTTCTCTCCAAAGCTGGATTTCAGAGTTTCCTAAATTTGCTCCTTCTCCTGGGAGTAGAAAGATTTGTTATGTCTTCACAGGAAGAAATTCTTGCTTCGTATTTCACCTCCTGTTTTGGCCAGGGGTGTGTGCTGGATTCCCAAGCTGCTGGCAAAAGCCACTTCCCTTCAGTCTGCCCTGCCTGCCCCTCAAAGGCCTGATATAGGTTCTTAGTCTGCACTGACCAGTCACCAAAACCTGGAATCCAGCCAGGGAAACCTGTTGTAAATATGAACCTACAGAAAAAATCTGTGTGCTGGCATGTTAGGGGAAGGGGATGGTTAAGGAGCAGAGAAGGCATTCCAGTCTGCTCTTAATTACAGTACCTTGAAAATGCTCTGTGGTTTTCAGCCAAGGCTGTTGTCTTAGAATGAATGCCTGTACCTTTGAAATAAGTAAATAACTTTATTGTTAGAACTTGGCTTAGGATAGCAGTAGCAGCATTCTGAAGGGCTATTTAAATGTCAATAACTTTCTCTAATTCGGGCTATAGGAATTAAATAAACCCATATAGAATCAATAAACTAGTTTAAGTTTGTGTGGTTGTGAACAAGTATGTGTGACAGAGAAAACTTCCAGTCAAATAAAAGCAACAACAAACTTCTTTGCTCGAAACTTATTCTCGTTATTAAACACGTAGAACATTTCCCGGAAGTTCCTGTACACTTTTTCTAGCATATATATAAAATCCATAGTCCTACTTCCACTCACCCCATGAATTCCCACAGAATACCCGAGAGAACGGATGCGCCCGCCGCCGTCTGGAGTGTGCGGGCTCCACTGCCCTCTCCTGGGGAAAGGCGCTCCCGGGAGTCAGCGAGGATACGGCAGCTGAGCAAAGAGCGATGCACTGCGCTGAGTTCTGCTGGTGTTTCACCGTATAACAGCACCCCTAAAGGTTTTCATCACAGTCATGCTACTTATAGAGACCCTATTGAGTCAGAGATCCGGGCCACAGCCTGTGACCCCTCAAAACCCCAGCAGTGTCGATGGGGGAATCACGTACTGCAGTGAACAAGCCACATAGGGGCATCCCTGCTGAAAGGCTAAAATATCAGCTTTGCTTGCTGCGGGAACAAAGACAAGAAGAAAAAAAAAGAAAAAATGTTGCTTCTCAACTGTGAAAATTACTGGGGTACACATGTCATTAATGAGATGACTCAAAATAATGACAGGTTTGTTTCTGAATAGTGATAGTCTGCCTGCAAAGCTTTACTTTCCAGTCCTTTCTTCTGAAACTAGTTTCACTTACCCTTGTATTTCCTGCTCTAAGGTGCCTCCTGTGTTTTGTGTAAATACTGCCTCGTCCCATGGCTAGGCCTTCAGTCCAGAGAGAGACTAATTGAGCACACACCTTCATGACACAAGTGGCCTTCTTCCTTGAGGGACTGAAATAAAATATGTATATCAAGAGTCACATTTTCAGTTCTCTTGGTCCCATTACCTAGTGTTTGAGTGCTTAGAAAGCCTAGAAAGTCAGAAGGGT